AAAAAAAAAAAAAAAAAAAAAAGAATAGCCCACCCCTAAAGAGGCGTCCCTCTACTCTGCTTTACTTTCTTCATAGCACTGCTATCAGAAACTATATAATTGCTATATCCAGTATCCAACTAAATGTAAATAACCTTCTAGGTATTAACAAATCATGCATCATAAGGTAGTATCTGGATGTTAAAATGCAGATTTCGGTAAACAAAGAACAGGTATTTGATTAATGCCTCTCCATTCTACCTGTAAAAATATGTAAATACACTGTGTGTGCATTTCACTGGGGATACTCATATATACTAGTAACAAAAAACTTTAGTATCTAGTTATCTTTTAAAGTATGTATTTCTATGGGGCCTGGGTGGCACAGTCAGTTAGGCACCCGACTTCAGGTCACGATCTCAGTTTGTGAATTGGAGCCTGGCGTTGGGCTCTGTGCTGACAGCTAAAAGCCTGAAGCCTGCTTCCAATTCTGTGTCTCCCTCTCTCTGCCCCTCCTCTGCCCACGCTCTCTCTCTCTCTCAAAAATAAATATTTAAAAAAAATTTTAATATGTATTTTTATTTAATTTTCTATTAATATATAATTTATTATTTGTGCCATTTATTATAGATTATATTTATTATATAGATTATAGTGCCATTTATTTAGAGACCATTGCCTTCTACTTTTATAATATCACACTTATATTAAGGTTCAATATAAATTTTTTCAGAATGCAAAAAATAACCTATCAACATGAACCAAATTCCTTTGCTCCTGGCTTTTCTTTTTGACACCAATATTTATATCAGGTCATAATCAAAACTTTTTTTACTCTTCTGCTTTTGGATAATCTTTTCAGCATTCATTTCATTTTCTCTGTATATAATAGTTATTTCAAGTATCTTCTTTGTAGATCATAAATAGGATTTACCTTCTTGTATCCCACAGTTTCACAATGTTATCTAAAGAACCTGAAATCAGCTGCTGCTCATGGGTAGGAGACCACTTTAATGATGTGACCCAGCCTGTATGTGAGGTTAGGGACAGCGACACCAAAGAACCATCTGAACAAAATTTAAAAAATAATAATTATTGAATTTTAGAAGAGAAATAGGAGAACCAAAAACAATATTTGTAGAAAATTATCTTTTTTTATACACATTTCTAGTGATAGGAGAAACTGATGTTATTTACCCATATTTCTCCTCTAGGATTTTACACATCTCACCTTTAGTTCGGGGATCCCACAGCCTGATATGCCTATCTGTACTTCCAGACGCTAGACGTTTACAAAGCGGAGAATAGGAGATACAATTAAACACTCTATTTCCTGTCTGAAAAACAAGGAGGAAAGAACATTTAAATGGTGAGCCAGAAATAACCATCTCTAGAAGCTCAGAGTTAACCACAGAGTCATTGGATTTTGAAGCCTTACCAAAGTTGACTTAAGACTGCCAGACTCAACATCCCACACTCTAATTGTGTGGTCCCAAGATGCACTGCAGATTTCTTCAGCATCTGACCACAGAACCGATGAAATTGCTTCTTTGTGCCCAGAAAGGGTCACTATGGGAGTCTAGAAATGAAAAGATACCCAAAGGAAAGGCATTTTTAGTTTAGAGTAATTGCAACAGTAATAGTATTTACTTCTGAAGCCCATACAGCAGATGCTTTAGCTTTTATATCTTGCCTTATTTCTTTACAACAATCATCCAAAACATACATCTGATTTGATTCCATAAATGAAGACAGGGAAAGTGAGAAAGATAACTTGCTCAAGGTCATACAGTTTATACATGGCAGACTGAAGTTTGAACCCAAATATTACTTAAAGCTTTGTAGTCTTTCCTCTACATCCTACTGCTTTTCCATCTGTTCTTTTTATTTTGAGAAGTATTAATATTAACACTAACTTAACTCTTTCATATGTACATGTTACATGTAGAAGTTAGTTGAAAAAGATCTGGGGTCAAAGAGATCTAGGTTTGAGGCAAGGTGCTGCCATTTTCTTCCTAACTCTTCCAGGTAAAAGTATCTCAATAGATTACTCTCACCATTTCCTCAGCATCTTCTAAGTTATATTGTCCAATCTTTAAATAATGCCCATGGTCCATTTATTAATACTACAAAATCTCTAATGTTTTTGCTCAATTAAAATCCCCAAACTAGGTGTAATATCTATCTTTTTTTTTTAAAAAAAAATTTTTTGGGGCGCCTGGGTGGCGCAGTCGGTTAAGCGTCCGGCTTCAGCCAGGTCACGATCTCGCGGTCCGTGAGTTCGAGCCCCGCGTCAGGCTCTGGGCTGATGGCTCGGAGCCTGGAGCCTGTTTCCGATTCTGTGTCTCCCTCTCTCTCTGCCCCTCCCCCGTTCATGCTCTGTCTTTCTCTGTCCCAAAAATAAATAAACGTTGAAAAAATAAAAAAACTACAATGAGATACCACCTCACACCTGTCAGAATGGCTAAAATTAACAACTCAGGAAACAACAGGTGTTGGTGATGATTCGAAGAAAAGGGAACGCTTTTGCAATGCTGGTGGGAACACAAATTGGTGCAGCCACTCTGAAGAGCAGTATGGAGGTTCCTCAGATAGTTAAAAATACAACTACCCTGTGATCCAGTAATTGCACTAATAGGTATTTACCCAAAAGATACAAAAACACAGATTCAAAGGGGTACATGCAACCTGATGTTTATAGCAGCATTATCAACAACAGCCAAACTACAGAAAGAACCCAAGTGTCCATCAACAGATGAATGGATAAAGAAGATATGGGGTGTGTGTGTGTGTATGTGGATGAACATAGGGGAAGGATAAAAATAAGAGAGGGAGACAAACCATAAGAGACTCTTAACTACAGAAACAAACAGGGTTGCTGGAAGGGAGGTGAGCAGGGTGATGGGTTAACAAGGAGGGCACTTGTCTTGAGCACTGGGTGTTGTATGTAAGTGATGAATCACTAAACTCTACTCCTAAAACCAATATTACACTATATATTAACCAACCAGAATTTGAATAAAAAATAAAAATAAAAAATAAAGGGCCAGCACTTAAATTACACTATGTAGCACCAGAAATCGACAAAATGATACACACTTTTTAATAGTAACTAAATGTAAACATAAATTATGTGTTAAATAAAATCAGTTATGGCATTAAAAATTTGGCCATATTGAGTGCTGGTAAGGATGTAGAGTAACTTTGATTCTTTTTATACTTTCAGTGGAAATATAAACTGATGTAACCATTTTGGAAAACTTTTTGCCAGTATCTAACATTTGAAAAACTTGGGGCGCCTGGGTGGCGCAGTCGGTTAAGCGTCCGACTTTAGCCAGGTCACGATCTCGCGGTCCCTGAGTTCGAGCCCCGCATCGGGCTCTGGGCTGATGGCTCAGAGCCTGGAGCCTGTTTCCGATTCTGTGTCTCCCTCTCTCTCTGCCCCTCCCCCGTTCATGCTCTGTCTCTCTCTGTCCCAAAAATAAATAAAAAAAAGTGGAAAAAAAAAAAAATTAAAAAAAAAAGAAAAACTCAACCTGTGCATACCCTGAGACCCAGCAATTCTAGTTTTGCAATTCTACATATGCAGAAATTACTGTATAAGTATACCTAAAGAAAAGTAAAATGACTAAAAAATTTTTTTAATGTTTATTAATTTTTTTTGATAGAGACAAAGCACCAGTGGGGGAGGGGCAGAGAGAAAAGGAGACAGAATCCCAACCACGTTCCAGGCTCCAAGATATCAGCAGAGTCCAACTTGGCACTTGAACCCACAAACTGTGAGATCATGACCTTAGCCTAAGTTGGCACCCCTAAAATAACTTCTTTTAATGTTTATTTTTGAGAAAGAAAGAGCACGTGCATGGGGGGAAGGGCAGAGAGAGAGAGAGAGAGAGAGAGAGAGAACACGCCAAGCAGGCTCCACACTGTCAGTGCAGAGCCCAACGTGGGGCTTGAACTCATGAACCATGAGATCATGACCTGAGCCAAAATCAAATCACTTAACTGACTGAGCCACCCAGGCACCCCAAGTATAGGAGCTTTCTTAGCAACGTTATTTATGGTAGCCAAAACTGGAATCAACTTAAATGTCCATCAAAAGAAGAATGGATAGGGGCAGCCTATCCATTGGATTAAGCATCCAACTCAGGTCCTGATCTCGTGGTTCCGGAGTTCGAGCCTTGCATCAGGTTCTGTGCTGACTGCATGGAGCCTGCTTGGAATTCTCTCTCCTCTCTGCCCCTATCCAACTCATGCTCTCGCTTTTTCTCTCTCAAAATAAATAAATAAACTTAAAAAAAAAAGAATGGATAAATTCTGATATAGTCAATGCAAGAGGATGCTATACATTAATGAAAAGAACTATTACGTGCAGCAACATAAAGCGAATCTCACAGATTATCACCTGAAGTTTAAAAATTAATGTAAGGTGACACGAGACAGAACAGTGATCACCTTTATGGGCTACCAATTGCAAAGCAGACCAGAGGGAGTCTTCTAGGGTGTTGGTAATTCTCTATGCTTTATTTGGGTTGTGATTACTCGAGTGTATGTTTGTTAAACTTCACTGTACACTTAACTGTACGTATGTCAAACTTTAATTGAAAGAAAGGAAAAAAAGCTACCTTCTGAGGGATTAACTTCTCTAATTCAAGAAATCTTTTTCTACTCAGATATTCTTTAAAGGTTGACCAGAGATATGCATCAGTAAATTACCACTTATCTAATTGGTGAGGCATTTATAGCTTTAACTTAAGACTAAGCGATAAGGAAATTAAGTAGCTGACAGATCATTCCTCTTGCAATTCAGCAGTCCATGTTTAAATGTACTAAGAAATCATAAACCACTTCTTTCAGTTGGAACTGGTTAAGTGCTATTTTTTATTACATTTTATGTGACTCTGATTAATCATTTTATGATTATACTTTATTCCTCCTTTTCAACCGTTTTTATAAAATATTTTGTTATTTGTAACTACAAGAAATAATGTGCAAATGTGTTTTATTGTACATTCATTACAGCTGTGAGAAAATGAATGGAAAACATGTCTTCCTAAACCTGATTCAGTATTGTCCTTCTCATTTTGCGTATTAACTTGGGTCAGATCATATTATGACAAATATTTTCCTAACAAAACAGAACAAATAAGAATATGGGTGAACTTTCTGACTTTAATCTAACTGGACTAATAGCTAAATGACAGAATCAAACTCAAATTAATTTTGACTTTCTATTGATTTAGGAGATATAATTAGCATTCCTAGTAAGAATTATATTCTCAGTGTATGAAACAATATCATTAAACAATCGAGGTATTAAAATGTTTCACTTAATTTGGATTCAAACTTTAAAAATTAAAAGATTCTACTAAAAACTGCATCATGGGATCAAATATAATAGCTAAATAATCAACCTACCAATCTGTAAGCCTGGCTAAATACCACTACATTCAAAGACTCAGATAAATGTAGCATACTACAGTATTTGTAATAAAAATTTACCAATCTACTATAAGAAAGCCTAATTAATTATGGTTGACAAAGCAACGCAAGAAAAAGGGAAATTTAAATAGAAAAGATTAAATTGTCATACATTTGTCAGTACAGACCTCAGCTAAATATAGTAAGTTCTCAAAAATACTTACCCTTGTCAGTCCCAACTGCTCTGTTTTCTGTTTCTTTCTTGGTCGATTTGTGGATTCCTCCATTTCATCTTCTTCATCTGTAGGAACTGTATCACAGAGAATTAGATTTGATGTTTTAAAAATTTAGGGTAAATATTAATTGCAAACAGTTTTAAAAGAATTCTTACATTTCTGGGTATATGTTTTCTTAACTGGTTAGGGAATAAATATTCCTCCTTATTTTGGTTAAAGAAATTTACATATAAAAACAATACCTGGGTTATTAGTCTTCCAAAAGGAGAAAGCAAAAAATAGAGTACATTAAAATCCTAAAGCCTAACCAGTTTGATATCTTGCTATGTCTTTAAGATTATGAATATTCATCACTTTACCATATCTATGAAAAATTGCTTACTATTAGTTATAGGAGAGTTCTTTTTTTTTTTTAAACACTTTTTTAATGTTTTTATTTATTTTTGAGATGGAGAGAGACAGAGCATGAGCAGGGGAGGGGCAGAGAGAGAAGGAGACACAGAATCCAAAGCAGGCTCCAGGCTCTGAGCAGTCAGCACAGAGCCCAACGCGGGGCTCGAACTCACAGACTGTGAGATCATGACCTGAGCCGAAGTCAGATGCGTAACCCATGGAGCCACCCAGGCGCCCCAGGAGAGTTCTGAACACATTGTATTTTTATTATGACGAATGGAATAACAACAGGGTGCCTGGGTGGCTCAGTTAGTTAAACATACAACTCTTGGTTTTGTCTCAGTCATGATCACATGGTTTGGGAGATCAAGCCCGTGTTGGGCTCTGTACTGACAGCAAGAAGCCTGCTAGGGATTCTCACTCTCTCACTCCCTTTGCCCCTCCCCCGCACACATGCAGGCACACGCACACTCTCTCAAAATAAATAAATGAACATTAAAAAAAAGAAGGGAATGACAGGTAAACAAACACATTACATGGAGATACAATCCAGTTATGCTTATTCTTCTTGACTATTGCACTTTTATAACAATGAATTAAAAGTATTTCAGATTACAAAATATTCCACAAAAGGAAAATTATCCAAACAACTTTCTGCCTCAAACCTGTTTGCTTTAAGCATTACTGAGAAATCTACTGAAATTATCTACTGACTTATCTTTAAGTCTACTTATCTTTAATCTACTGACTTATCTTTATTTCCTACTACTGACACTGTTTAAGCTTTTCTTGATCCCCCAATTCTACTTTGTGAACTGTTAGGGTATTATACTATAATATATATTATACTATAATAAAGCAATTCCCTCAGAAGTAATAGGGATTCTGCTCTATTTACCTGGCAATCTGTGGGTCTTCCCCCTCTTTTCTCCTCACTACTCTCAAAGCACCTTCCTTTAAGAGTCCTCCTTCCTCCAACTCTTCCTCCAAATTATCCCTTCTATGTTTTCAAAGTAAAAAAATTAAGTTTGGCAAAACTACACCGTAAAAAAAATTTAAAGGGGCACCAGGTGGCTCAGTTGGTTAAGCATCCAACTCTTGGTTTCAGCTCAGGTCATGATCTCTGTTTCGTGAGTTCAAGCCCCCTATTGGGCTCTGCACTGGCATCGTGGAGCCTGATTGGGATTCTCTCTCTCCTTCTCTCTGCCCCTTCCCTTCTCTTCCCCCTCTCTCTGCCCCTTCCCTACTCACACTGTGTCTATCTTTCTCAACAGAAATAAACTTATTTTTTTAAGTAAATTAGCTTAACTCTGAAGTTTCTCTTTTTCATTTTTTTAAGGTTTATTTATTGAGAGAGAGAGCATGGGCGAGGGACAGGCAGAGAGAGAGGGAAAGAGAATCCCAAGCAGGCTCCGCGCTATCAGCACAGAGCACGACATGGAGCTTGATCTCACAAACTATGAGATCATGACCTAAGCTAAAACCAAGAGTCAGATGCTTAACCAGCTGAGCCACCCAAGCGTCTCTTAACTAAAATTTCTCTAACGTGGAGTGTTATCAAAGTGACTCAAGCTATTTTTGCTTATTTCCAGGTTCCTGAATAAGAGAACTCTGAGAACTAAGCAGTTATGTCCCATTGCACCAATCATGTTGTTGAGTTACATGCAGCAATTCAGTCACATGGTTCAATAAATAAGGGGGTAATAGATAGAAACACATTTTGAAACACAAAGCATACTAATTTTTCTCGATATGTTCCTTTATTTGTATCCTAAAAAGCTCAGATTTATTTTTATGGATCAAAATGGGGGTTAAAAAGTCTTCTTTCACTGGAATTCTTGGAACATTTTTAGTAAGTCAAAATAAACTAATATTTACCTGTAGACCAGATCTTTAGCATCTTGTCCCAGGAGCCACTGCAAAACTAAAAACATACATGAAGAGAAAAGAGTATATAATATAACCTATCGTATTATTTGCCTTGATTTTTCTATTTATAACTTAAAACCTATACTTTGCTCTGAAATCCTTTACTACTATTGTACCATCTGCATAGCTTTCTTAGTCTCCTGGAAGTTGTATCCACAATCTCATGACAACTGAAGGCATTGCCATTCTTACATGGCCCTGTGCCCTGGCTTTGGTTGCATAGATCGAGGTAGGCAACTGATCTACAGAGTACCAATAAGTCTCTCCCTCCTTCAGGACCTTTTTATGAAAGCCTATGTTCCAGAGAGTTGAAGTTCATCTTCTCCAGGAACTGATGGTAAAGGGTGTGAAACCTAGGAATACTGAAAGCTAGGTTTTATTGTCATGTGGAAAAAAGCCAGTTTGGGGGCACCTGGGTGGCTCAGTCGGTTAAGCATCTGACTTCGGCTTAGGTCATGAGCTCATGGTTCCTGGGTTGAAGCCCCACATCAGGCTCTGTGCTGAGAGCTCAGGGCCTGGAGCCTCCTTCAGATTCTGTGTCTCCCTCTCTCTGCCCCTCTCCTGCTCACGCTGTCTCTCTCTCTCAAAAATAAACATTAAAAAAAATTTTTTTTTAAAGAAAAAGCCATTTTGAAGTGAAAGAGAAGAAGTCAACTTAGGGAGATGAGCAAGGAAGGGAGAGGAATGTGCTGGCCACATTCAAGCTCAACTCCATTGGTTCCTAAGACTCAAATGCATCCTCACCCAGTTAGTGATGTGATTATTTATTCCTTCCTGGATCTCACAAACTTTTTTTTTCATTTTTTAAAAAATGTTTATTCATTGTTCAGAGAGAGAGAGAGAGACAGAGTGCAAGCAGGGGAGGGGCAGACAGAGGAGACACAGAATCTGAAACCGGCTCCAGGCTCTGAGCTGTCAGCACAGAGCCCAACACGGCGCGCAAACCCACGAACTGTGAGATCATGACCTGAGCCAAAGTCCGACGTTCAACCGAGTCACCCAGGCACACCTGGATTTCACAATCTTTTCAGCTGAAAAAAGTTCAAGATGAGTTTCTATCTCTTACAGCAAAAGGTAGAGTACAGTTAATTCATTTAAGTTTGGACTCAACAACAGGTAAACCTTCTTTATGGCTCTATATGAATAATCATAAATCTTTACCTTTGAATGCATCAAGGGTCCTCTAATATGCTAATTGGCAAAGAAATGCTGAAGAAATACTCTTAAACCCAACACAACTCAATGTGGTTTAGGAAACTTTCAAACAGCAAGAGAATTTATAACTCCTCATATGTCAATAGTGTTGTACTCAGGTTTTTTTCTTTTTTTACCATTTTGTCACGATAAGAGTAAATCAGCAATAATAGTAAAACAACCTCTATTAACACAAACCTTGAGTATGCTAAGGCTTAGATGATCAACTCAATTTTTTCAATTGATGAAAGCACTGAGTAGCTAGAAGATTGAAAATGTCAATCACTATGATTAAAGTTAAACTGCTGGTTTACCGGATTTCTTAGAATTTCTGCAGTAACCAGAAAAACCCATCTGAGGAAGTGAATTATCTCTCATTGAAAGAGTATTTACTTTGGGTTTGAAATCATATTCTTTAATTACCAACTGTTATGATTGTAGGACAACGAAGAAAAAATTGTTTGCATAAGAAGCTCAAATTCTAATTGAACAGTACTAGTAACACACTAGCTACTTACTTTAGTTCCTGTGCTATCAACAGCTATAGAATCCACACTTCCAGCATGACCTCTGCAGCAGTGCAGGGCTTTCACTTTGTTTCTCTCTACATTCCACTCCCATAAGAGAATAGTCTGATCCATAGAGGCACTCAATAGTAGGCAAGACAAACTGTCTGAAGAAAGGAGAACACAAGAACAAATTAGCACAAAAATTTTAAATACATTAAGTTCTAAAACTGAAGAACTGATTTTTTTGTTGTTGAAAGACATTAAGAAGATAAAAGAGCTATATGCCAGCTTTGAAAAAGAAGTAACTTACAGTATAAAAGGATGATCCTTCAAAAATGCTATAAAACATGAGTTTAACACAATATTAACTTGAAAGTGCACATTATCTGCTATGATTTTAAAAATGTATGGATTGAATTCTACCACTTATGGATTTTCTTACATAATCTTTTTCTTCTTCAACACTGTATTTTTGAAAGACCTCACAATAACCAAGGCACATGGCACTTCCTACCCCATCCCCATTGTGCCCCAGCACTGAAAATGGCTTATTTCCGGTTCCCTGTTCAGGATTACTTTCCATTCAGGCAGAGAGTCCTAACCTTTTTTCACCCAGGCCACATCTTTTACAACATCTGTGTGTCCCACAATTGTCATTATTGACTTTCCTTCCAAGGACCAGATCCTCGAAGTCTTATCATAAGAACCAGTCAAGATCCTATGAAAAGAAAAAAACCCTTATGAAATCAAAAAGCAGCTTTTTCAAATCCTGAAATCAATTATATTTCTTTTTTAGTGTTTATTTTTATTTTTGAGAGAGAGAGAGAGAGAGAGAGAGAGAGAGCGAGCATGAGGGGAGGAAGGGTAGAGAGAAAAGTAGACACAGAATCTGAAGCAGACTCCAGGCTCTGAGCTGTCAACACAGAGCAGGATGCAGGGCTCGAACTCACGAACTGTGAGATCATGCCCTGAGCTGAAGTCAGACACTCAACTGACTGAGCCACCCAGGTGCCCCAATTATATTTCCAAGACAATTAAATAAACCTTGAGATTATACTTTAAAAAGGTTTTTAATATGAAGACTAAGATTTTAAAAGACATTAGATCAGATCTTACCTGTGACTTTTTCTGACCTCCTAAAAATAAAAACATAAGTAAAAAGCCCTAGACTTCATTTTAATTACTATTGTAAACACTACAACTCAGGGAAATTGCTTGTAAAGCCTAACTGCCCTTTGTACTTAACCACTGAAAATCATTCAACAGAAAAACAATAAAACCATCTAAAAGTAAAACCAGTAAAAACATCACTTGTGTAACAACTCCAGGAAGATATTCTTTTAAAAATGTAAGCTTGTACTATGATCCAGTCTCAAGATGCTTTTCAACAAGTAAGGCCACTGAGGGTTTGTTCTGAGCCATCCATACCTTCTCAGATCCAGTCTGCCCTTTTTAGCCCTATACCATGATCTGCATCTTCATGGTAGTAAGCCAGGAGATCTGTAGTTATAAGAGGGTTTTTTTCCCCTCTATGGAACAAATTATATCTTTGGTCTTATAAGCAACACACAAAAATAAAATATTCTAAGACACTTGACTTATTCATGTATAGACAAATGTCACTCCAACATCTTGGGAAGGAAAAGATATGCTTCTTCTTGAATAAATTGAATGTAAAGATCTTGGGCAAGGACACTGATACATATATCACAAAATTACTTTTACAAATAACACAGAATCAATCAGAGAAAAATATTCACATAGTGCAATTAAACAGACTGATGGAAGTGGCATAATAAAATGGCAATACCATTCTTCTGCCCCTCTGACTGAACTGATCCAATCATCATGGAACAAGCATTGTTCTGGCTGAGGTGCAGTGTACTTCTCCACGTATTCTAGTTCCACAACCTCTTCCTAGTGACAGAGAAAAACCAGAAATCAATCAGGCAATAGTTCCAAAGTAGTATACTACAAACATAAAGGACCCCTTGTTTATTACGTCTCTTTCATGTAAGTCCCCTTCATAACCCAGAAATTTGGAGCCATGCAAAAGGCGAAAAACTTTATCTGACCTAACAGTGTGCAAACAGTAATATTAACGAATATTAACAACCTTGGAAAATTTATGCTGAAAGGGGGGTAGGGGGATATAAGGAACTTTAAAAAATAAAATTATAAAAGCATTCTACTTAATGAGGATGATAACAGTCCTGGATATGGATAGTCGTGATAGATGCATAATATTGTGAATATACTTAATGCCACTGAATTACACACTTAAAAATGATTAAAATGAGGGGTGCCTGGGTGGCGCAGTCGGTTAAGCGTCCGACTTCAGCCAGGTCACGATCTCGCGGTCTGTGAGTTCGAGCCCCGCGTCGGGCTCTGGGCTGATGGCTCAGAGCCTGGAGCCTGTTTCCGATTCTGTGTCTCCCTCTCTCTCTGCCCCTCCCCCGTTCATGCTCTGTCTCTCTCTGTCCCAAAAATAAATAAACGTTGAAAAAAAAAAA